TCCTAGGATTTCTAGAACCGAGAAAGCGAGTCCCTAAGATGGGCCAGCTAGGAACAGAGTCAGAGCTAGGAATGGCAAAGGGGCAGGGACGGCACTGCAGAGAGCGACTTTCTGGGGTTCACCTTTTAGGGGAAAGTGCTCTGTTGGGTGGGTTTTCAGGGCCAGGTGTCACCGTTCCTAAGAAAGCCAGCAAGCTGAAAAGGGAGGCCCAGAATCGTGAGTCAGAGATAGCCAGGCTGCCTGCTTCTGGCCGGGGACTGATAGGAACCCGGCAGAAGGGCTGGGGAGTCACCGTTTTTCTTTTGGAGGGAGGAGTGGGACTTCCGTAGGAGGTTTTCAAGGGGAGGGACTTCCTGCTTGGAAGGAAATTGGGGGTGGGGCTTCGAGAGTGGGTGAGTGGGTGCCTGAGGGACCTATTCCAGATGGGAGTTGCTCCTTCCTCTCCTCCCCAGATCCGGGGCCGCTCGCCGGGATCAGGTACTCAAGCCCACCACTGACAGGGTCCTGCAGCCTCGGGGAGGAGAGGGACCTGGCAAAGGGGGTGGCCAGGAGCTAGTGTGATGGAAGGCAAGGGTGCCAGTGCTAGGCGGGGCTGGGCGGGGCTGGGCAGGACACGGTGGCTCCTGCACGCCCCATTCCCACTCTCAGGAATGTGTGAGGTGTGAGGTCGGCCAGGGCTGGGAGAGTCACCTGCCCCCATCACTGCTATTCTCAGCATTTCCCGCCCTCTCCCTCTGCCACTTGGGAGATTCCCTGGCTAGAGGACTCCCCGTCCCTCCCCCACCCCTGCTGAGTTCACAGCCCAGCCTCCTGCTGTCTCTGTCTTAGAGGATTCAACCTCCTGAGGCCTCCGTCTTTCCCCGTCCCCTCCCTCCCTGCCTTCCTCCGTCCCACCCCCTCCCTGCACACCCCAATCTGACCAGTCCGGTTCCCAGCCTCCACTTCACCCTGCTGTGCTCCAAGGCTCTTGGGGATCTGTCCCAGCCCAGCCCCTCAAGCCCCACCCTGCCAAGCCGGCGGGTTTGGGTTGGGCCACCCCCTCCCCCCTAGGAATGGGACGTGTAGACCCCACCTCTCCTTTCTGGTGTACACAGAGCTGGCAGAACAGGGTCCCAGTGGCCTGGGACCTCCCTCTTACGAGGGAAGGTGGGCCGAGATGTTCAGTGCCTGGATCACAGGGAGGGAGTTGGGGATGCCTGACCAGTCCCTGAATCTGGGGATGGGCGAACAGAGGGTGCAGGTGAATCTAGAATGCTCACATGCCCTGGGACTGGAAATCCTTGTCCCCTCCTTGCAGGTGGCAGGTAGTTGGTTAAGTGTGAAGAAGTGGATGGAAGGAATTGGGGGTGGGGGCAGTGGCCGGCCTACGAGATCCAGGCATTATAGGGAATGGATCCCAGGGACTTGGGAAAGAAAAGATACATTTATTTATCCAGTACCTCCCCTGGGTCCGGTACTGCCTTATCCCTTGTAATCCTAAAAAGCGGTTCCGTTCTCCCACTTGCCAGATGAAGTATCTGAAACTCAGAGAAGGAGGGTTTTTTGTTGTTGTTGTTGTTGTTGTTGTTGTTGTTTTTTGATGGAGTCTTGCTCTGTGTCCCAGGCTGCAATGCAGTGGCACGATCTTGGCTTACTGCAACCTCTACCTCCCAGGTTTAACTGATTCTCCTGGCTCAGCCTCCCGAGTAGCTGGGACTACAGGTGCCCGCTACCACGCCCGGCTAATTTTTGTATTTTTGCTAGAAACGGGGTTTCAACATGTTGGCCGGGCTGGTCTCAAACTCCTGACCTCAGGTGATCCACCCACCTCGGCCTCCCAAAGTGCTGGGATTAGAGGCATGAGCCACCATGCCTGGCCAGGAGGATTTTAGAAACTTGCCCGGGGCCACCCAGCTAGTTTAAGTGGCTGGACTACAGTTGGAGCCTAGGTCCAACCCCAAAGCCACTTTCTCCACTATCCTACTGGGATGCCTGTGTCCCAAGCAAAGAGGTGGCGGCAACGGTCTATGATGTCCTTTCTCTCTAGGACAGTCAGGGACAGCTCTCCCAAGCAGGGCAGGGAGCCAAACCCCCTTCCCCCTCCCTGACCTCCCCCGCCCCGCCCCAAAGATACCACAAATCCGGGAGAGCATAGAGACAGGGCAGCTGGTTGACACTTTCCTGGTCCCAGGCCTAGGCCCTGGGGGATCCCCTGAACTCACTGGCGAGTATGCAGGGCTGGCCCCTGTCCCCAAGATCCCAGGCTCCCCATTTCTCCCAGGTGTCCTGCTTTTTATCCCATCTTCATGTTGAGGCCGTTTTATTTGACCCTCAAAGAGGAAGACCAGCTTCTAGGGCTGTCCCTGCCCCGGGACCGAGAGTCCTGCAGGGCTAAGTCTCCCACTGTGCATGTCACACACTGCACAACTCCAGGGGGTGCTGCTCATATTTGAAATCACAGTCAATGCTGGAAGTCACGACAGTTTTCCGGAAGGTGGCATTAAGGGTCTTGAAGAAAGGGGCATTTTCTAATCCACACAAACTTGCTTTTGGGCTTGTGGTGGAGGTAGGTCCTGTCTCAGCAGCCCCTACTTTCCTCCCCCTGTCGACTGCCAGCCCCTCTCACGCCTGCCCACCCCCCCACCTCAGACCCGGTGACCCGTCTCTACAATACAAATGCCCCTGGCGCCTGTAGTCCCACTCAGGCTGAGCAGTGGAACCCAGCAAGGAGCGAATGCACTGCCTCCAGCTGGCAGACAGTGCCCCACAACCCCCTCACTCTGGGGTCCTAAAGGGGAAGGCCTGCGTTGCCAGAGTCCTGGTCCCTTGAAGTGTGTGTTAGAATGTTCCAATGGAGGCTGGGCGCGGTGGCTCACACCTGTAATCCCAGCATTTTGGGAGGTTGAGGCGGGCGGATCACGAGGTCAGGAGTTGGAGACCAGCCTGGCCAACATGGTGAAACCCCATCTCTACTAAAAATACAAAAATTAGCTGGGCGTGGTGGCGCATGCTTGTAATCTCAGCTACTCTGGAGGCTGAGGCAGGATAATCGCTTGAACCCGGGAGGTGGAGGTTCCAGTGAGCCGAAATCGCGCCATTGTACTCCAGCCTGGGCGACAAGAGCAAGACTTAGTCTTAAAAAAAAAAAAGCCCCAGTGGAAAGTGCTGTCAGAAACTCTCAGGCGCTAGACAAACAGAAGACAGTCACCTATTGGCCAACAAACGTTTATTGTTGTATTATTCCTTTATCTCTGGCGAGAACGAACACCTTACTTGACATCTTTACCCCTGAGTCTCCGCCAAGCAGGGCCCATGTTCCTATCCCTAGGTATCCACCCGCTTTGGTCTCTGTGAGTCTGTGTAATGTGGTGGAGGGGGGGTATTGGGTTTTCTGTGGTGGCTCCATATCCACTCAGGTGTTGCTGATTGAAATAGCTCAAAAATTACTTTGACCCTCCTGCTGGCAGACCCACCACCCCGCCTTCAACTTCTCCTCTCCCACCGCCCCAGGAGTCCCAGATTCCCTTCCCCCACCCACCCCATCCTGCTCACTCAGGCCTGGTCACCTCCTTAGTTGCTCTACCTGTCAGCGCGTTCTGCACCCAGAGCTTGGATGAGAAATGGAAAATTCCCAGCTCCCTGTGCTCCCTTCCTGGCTGCAGGACCTCATCCAAGGGTCACCTTGAATTGAGTGCTGATCCCCCTGCGGGGAAGCGAGTCTGAGCTGACAGCCAGGAGGGAGAGCTTACAAGGGAGCCCAGGGATGTGGCCTGCAGCCCCTTGAGGCCCCTGCTCCGAGCGGGGCCCAGCTGGGGGCTGGAGGGCAGGACTGGGGATCCCACCACAGCACCAGAGTGCAGGGGTACAAGGGTAGGTCTGGAGCCTCAGGGCAAGAGCCTGGGGCCAGAGTGGTGGGAGAGGGAGCCTTGGAGGATGAGGTCGGCACAAGAGCCTGTGCAGGTCCTGGGCGGTGAGAGTGGGGCTTGAGGGAGAGCCAGGTTCTGGGACCAAGAGCCCAGCGTCTTGGAGCCAGCCTGGAGCCTGGCCCTGGGGGCTGTTGAGCCAGGCCTGAGTCGCCCTCTGGTGGCCACTTCCCAGACTGCAGCCAGACCCTGTCACCTGGGACTCCCACCTCTCTTCCAAGCCCTGTTGCTCCTCTTCCCAATGTCCCATCTCCAAGCTCACTTCCCTTCCTCTCCTCTGAGCCCTCGCTTCCTCTGAGACCCCAGACCCAGGTCCCAGGCCCATAGGCGGTTTTTTTTTTTTTTTTTGAGACGGAGTCTCGCTCTGTCGCCCAGGCTGGAGTGCAGTGGCCGGATCTCAGCTCACTGCAAGCTCCGCCTCCCGGGTTCACGCCATTCTCCTGCCTCAGCCTCCTGAGTAGCTGGGACTACAGGCGCCCACAACCTCGCCCGGCTAGTTTTTTGTATTTTTTAGTAGAGACGGGGTTTCACCGTGTTAGCCAGGATGGTCTCAATCTCCTGACCTCGTGATCCGGCGGTATTTTTTTAGAGTTTTGCTCTTGTTGCCCCGGCTGGAGTGCAGTGGCCTGATCTCGGCTCACTGCAGTCTCCACCTCCCAGGTTCAAGCGATTCTCCTGCCTCAGCCTCCTGAGTAGCTGGGATTACAGGCACCTGCCACCACGCCTGGCTAATTTTTTGTACTTCTAGTAGAGCCAGGGTTTCACCATGTTGGCCAGGCTGGTCTCGAACTTCTGACCTCAGGAGATCCGCCTGCCTCAGCCTCCCAAAGTGCTGGGATTACGGGCATGTGCCACCATGCCTGTCCCTTTTTTTTTTTTTTTTTGAGACAGGATCTCACTCTGTCTTCCAGGCTGGAGTGTAGTAGCACGATCTTAGCTCACTGCAACCTCTACCTCCCGGGTTCAAGCAATTCTCCTGCCTCAGCCTCCTGAGTAGCTGGGATTACTGGCACCCTCCACCATGCCTGGCTAATTTTTGTATTTTCAGTAGAGATGGGGTTTCACCGTGTTAGCCAGGCTGGTCTCGAACTCCTGACCTCAAATGATCCACCCACCTCAGCCTCCCAAAGTGCTGGGATTACAGGTGTGAGCCACCGCACCTGGCCTTTAGGCTGTATTCGTCTTCTAGGACTCTGGGCTCAGTTTCTGTTGCCATGGTAACCTTTCCCATTTTTGGTCTTCTCTGGAAAGTCAGGGACCCTCTGGCCAGGTCCCGGGGTCACCCATGATGTGAGCCTTGTGGGGTTTTTTGGTAGTAGAGCACTCATGATCTATGGAAGACCACGAGTACGTCAGAACGCCCCCTACCCCAGCCACCTCCACCCTCTTTCCCAAGGCCTTGAGGGACAGAGGGGACAGGATGGGGTCAGAGGTGGGGAGGGGCCTCCGAGGGCCAGGCCCTTCGTCTCCCTTCACACCCTTCACTCCCCTCTCAGACCCAGGCTTCTGCCCCACGCCCCTCCCCTGGCCCAGCCACCAGCTGACTTCCTCGGCCGGCCCCCTCCCCTCCACTCTGGGATTGGTGCCAGGGTGAGAAGGGGACACTGGCACTGACCGTGTCTGGGAATTCCCGCCCACCGAGGAGCCGAGGGGAGGGGGGGTCCCCGTGTCCCCAAGGAGCCAATAGCAGCCAGGCCTTGCCCTTGGGGGGGGTGGTGTATATCTTTCAGGCCAGCACCCCCGAGGCACTGTCTCCTCTCTGCCCGCCTGGCACCAGCCAGACCCCGCTCTGCCCGGGGGGCTCTGAGCCCCCCAGGCATTCCCTTCACTGCATCCTTCTCCGTTGGGGGGGCGTCTAAGGACCCTTTCCCCTTGGGCATGGCCCAGCCAGGGATCTCTGTCAAGTCCCTGGTGTCATCTTATGAGACCCGAGTGGTGGGGATGGCTCCGGGGCCGCCCCGAAAAAGGGACTGTGCCTCTTCCCCTTGCTCTCCCCGGGGTGCGTCCCCCATACGAGGGACATCTGGGCCCCCGCCCCACCGGGGCCTGGGAGGCCCTGGGCAGCGGCCCTCAGCCCGCAGGGGGATGGACAAAACCCTCCTCTCCCTCATTCTCTACTGTCACAGGTATAGGGGGGTGTGGGCGGGAGGCTGTGGTCCAAGAAACCAGCACCTGGGAAGGCTCCTCCTCTCCTCCCCTCACCTTCCTGTGTCTCTCCAGTGGCTCCGGAAGCCTGGTTGGCATTGACAACAAAATCGAGCAAGCCATGGTAAGAGAAGCCATCTTGGTCCCAGGAGGTCCCGGCCCCCTTAAGCCATCCCTCCGCCCCAGCCCTGTCTTCTTCCTTACCAGGGAACACCAACTCCCAGTTCCTCCATCCCTCTCCCTGCTGGGCTCCTGGGCATCCTCTGCCCCCTCCTACCGCCACCTGCACCCTTGACTTTGCCTGGCCTCTGGTCTGGCTGCTGGTCCCCATCTCTGTCTTTGAGCTCTGACTCTGCCTCTGTCCCTCGTCCTTTTCCCCTGTCCCTTCCCTGCTTTGTCTCTCATCCTCTGGACACGGGACTCTCTCCCATCCCGGCCCTTGAGGCACTGGGCAGGGGATGAGGCACCCACTCCGTTGACACTGTCCCCGGGGCCCCCAGGATTTGGTGAAGTCCCACCTCATGTTTGCGGTCCGGGAGGAGGTGGAGGTACTGAAGGAGCAGATCCGGGAACTGGCAGAGCGGAACGCTGCGCTGGAGCAGGAGAACGGGCTGCTGCGCGCCCTGGCCAGCCCGGAGCAGCTGGCTCAGCTGCCCTCCTCGGGGGTCCCACGGCTTGGGCCCTCCGCGCCCAATGGGCCCTCCGTCTGAGCCTCCCTTCCCTTACAATGTGCCTTTGGGGCTGCCCGGCCTTTTGTCAGCCGCCTGCCCCCTCTTCCTATGCAGCTTTAATGTCCCCATGTCCCCAGGGTGGGAGTTCAAGGCTCAGTAACGGCCTGGTCCCCCGGCCCCTGCCCCATCTCCTCATCATCCCCAGCCTTGATGGAGGAGGGAGGACTTCAGGACGGGGCATCAGAGGGAGCCCCCTCTGGGAGGGAACCAACCTCCACCCTCCCTCATGGGACTCAGTCGACGGCCTGGGGGAGTTGGAGGCTCCCTGGCAGACACCCCACCCCCACCTTGTTCCCTTGAGGTGCATCCTCTCCTCTGCCCAGGGGAGGGAGTGTGGACAGTATCTGGAAGTTCTGGGATTCAGGTTGTTATTAAAATAATAATAATAATTAAAAATTCTGAAGAAACTTGAATTTGGAGGTTGACATCTCGTTCGTTGCTTGTGTTCAGACTCAGGGGTCGCGCCTGCCATTTGGGGCTTCCCTGAGATCTTTTGCAGACTGGGGAGGTTTAAAGCGTGGGAGATGGAGGGGTTGAGACAGAGACTGGAGAAGGGAGCCAGCGGTTCGGGTCCTGGGAAGGGGCAGGCGAGGATTGGGGGTGGGGGGGCGTCTGCCCACGTGCTGGGCGGGGGGACCAGGAAACAATGAGGTCTTTGGTGGCTGCCCAAGATCCACCCCCAGCTTCCCAGTGTGTCCCCTCTGCGGGCTGGATCCGGGTGGCTGCTTGGGGGCGGGGCGGGGGGCCCTGAATGGGCCCCTTGTCTCTGGGCTGGGTGTGGGCCAGACTCCCTGGGCACACGGTGCCCTTGCCAGGCCTGGCCGGCCGCCGTGGCTCCCACCCCCGGCCAGCTGAGGACGGGCCCTGTGGGTGAGATGGCCCCTCCCTGGCAGCCTGGGCTCCAGTCCCAGGCGGAAGAGTCAGCAGTGATGGAGAAGGACCCCATCTAGCGGGGAAGAGGCGAGAGTTGCGGATGTAGCCCCAGGAGGCCCCTAGCCCCAGCAGCCTCCAAGGAGGCTGACCTGCCTTGGAGTCCGTGACTCTCTGCCTCCTTAGGTTTCCCTAGGTTCATAACCTTGGGCAACTTCTTTGGTTTTTTTTTTTTTCTTCGTTTCTTCTTTCTTTTTTTGAGACAGGGTCTTGCTCTGATGCCCGGAATGCGGCGGCACAAACACAGCTCCCTGCAGCCTCCACGTCCCTGGCTCAAGTGATCCTCCTGCCTTGGCCTCCCTGAACTATAGGTGTGTGCCACCACGTTCAGCTAATTGTCTTTATTTTTGTAGAGATGGGGCCTTGCTATGTTGCCCAGGCTGGAGTGCAGTGGTGTTATCATAGATCACTGTTGTCTTCCACTCCTGGGCTCAAGTGATCCTCCCACTTCAGCCTCCTAAGTAGCTGGGACTACAGGCATGTGGCACTATGCCCAGCTAGAGACGGAGTTTCGCTCTTGTCACCCAGGCTGGAGTGCAGTGGTGAGATCTCAGCTCACTGCAATCTCCACCTCCCAGGTTCAAGCGATTTCCATGCCTCAGCCTCCTGAGTAGCTGGAACTACATGTGCGCACCACCACTCCCGGCTAATTTTTTTTTTTTTTTTTTTTTTTTAATTTTTAGTAGAGACAGGGTTTCACCATGTTGGCCAGGATGGTCTCAAACTCCTGAACTCAAGTAATCCGCCTACCTCAGCCTCCCAAAGTGCTGGGATTACAGGCATGAGACACCGTGCCCGGCCTAAATTTTTTGGTAGAGACCATCTCGCTATATTGCCCAGGCTGATCTCAAGCTGCTGGCTTCAAGTAATCCTCCCACCTTGGCGTCCCAAAGTTCTGGGATTACAGGTGTGAGCTACCACACCTGGTCCCCTTTTTTTTCTTCCTTCCTTCCTTCCTTTTTTTTTTTTTTTTTTGAGACGGAGTCTCGCTCTGTCGCCCAGGCTGGAGTGCAGTGGCCGGATCTCAGCTCACTGCAAGCTCCGCCTCCCGGGTTTATGCCATTCTCCTGCCTCAGCCTCCCGAGTAGCTGGGACTACAGGCGCCCGCCACCTCACCCGGCTAGATTTTTGTATTTTTTAGTAGAGACGGGGTTTCACCATGTTAGCCAGGATGGTCTTGATCTCCTGACCTCGTGATCTGCCCGTCTCGGCTTCCCAAAGTGCTGGGATTACAGGCTTGAGCCACCGTGCCCGGCCTCCTTCCTTCCTTCCTTCCTTCCTTCCTTCCTTCCTTCCTTCCTTCCTTCCTTCCTTCCTTCCTTCCTTCCTCCCTCCCTCCCTCCCTCCCTCCCTCTCTCCCTCCTTCCTTCCTTCCTTCCCTCCTTCATTCCTTCTTGTCTTTTTTTGTCTTTCTTCCCTCCCTCCCTCCCTCCCTCCTTCCTTCCTTCCCTCCTTCATTCCTTCTTGTCTTTTTTTGTCTTTCTTTCTTTCCTTCTTTTCTTTTTCTTTCTTCCTTCCTCTTTAATTTCTCTTTCTTTCTTTCTCTTTCTTTTCTTCTTTTCTTTCTTTCTCTCCTCTCTTTCTCTGTCTCTCTCTCTCTTCCTTCCTCCATCCTTCTCTCCCTTCTTTCTTTTTTTTTTTTTTTTTTTTGAGACAGAGTCTCATTCTGTTGCCCAGGCTGGAGTGCAGTGGCACAATCATGGCTCACTGTAGCCTCCACCTCCTGGGCTCAAGCAATCCTCCTGCCTCAGCCTCCTGAGTAGCTTGGACTTCAGGCACACACCACCACTCCTGACCGATTTAAAAATTTTTTTTGGCCAGGCGCGGTGGCTCACACCTGTAATCCCAGCACTTTGGGAGGCCGAGGCGGGCGGATCACAAGGTCAGGAGATCGAGACTACGGTGAAACCCCGTCTCTACTAAAAATACAAAAAATTAGCTGGGCGCGGTGGCGGGCACCTGTAGTCCCAGCTACTCAGGAGGCTGAGGCAGGAGAATGGTGTGAACCCGGGAGAAGGAGCTTGCAGTGAGCCGAGATCGCGCCACTGCACTCCAGCCTGGGCGACAGCGTGAGACTCCGTTTCAAAAAAAAAAAAAAAAAATTTTTTTTGAAAAATTTAAACAGTGAGTTGCAGGGGTGGGGAGGGGGGTCTCACTATGTTACCCAGGCTGGTCTTGAACTCCTGGCCTCAAGTGATCCTGCTGCCTCAGCCTCCCAAAACACTGGGATTACAGGCACGAGCCACCATGCCCGGCCCCCTTTAGCTTTCCTGAATTTCAGATCCCTCTTTGGTGAAGTGGCACTAACAATAATACCTACCTTGAAAGGCTGCTGTGAAGGGACTGCATGACGTGATGCAGGGACAGGGCCTATTAGTTTGTTACACCTTAGCTTATTTTCCCTGGATCTGAGCGAAGAAGAGCCAGGGTGGAAGAGATGGACTCTGTGGGTCCAGGCAGGGCCTCGGGGGTTGGGGTCAGGGCCAGGCAGCCTCACAATGGTCTAGAACTCTCCCTCACTGTAGGTTCTCACCTACTTCAACTCCTCTCCCTGTCCCAGGGAGGGGAGAAAAGGTCTGGGATTCATTGCCAGGAGGGGCTTTCCCCCAGGATTTCCTACTTCTTTCTTTACTGCTGTGCTTGAAGCTCACAGGAGACCCCTCAAGAGGTGGTCACTGGCCCACAGCCCACCCCGTCCTCCACCTGCCACCTCCACCGTACCAAATGCTGGCTCTGCTCTTTCCTCCGTGTTTGTCCTGTCAAGAGAGATGGTTGTGGTCATGAAGTTCTTCCGATGGGTTAGACAGGCTTGGCAAAGGATTATTTCCTGGGTGAGTTTCTGAGACCACTCTGTCCTCATGATGCTCTGGCCTGAGGGCATGGTCACAGCAGCCCCTTACTGCATGGGTTCCCTCCCTTCCTGGCCTCCTGTGGCCAAACAAGATGGAGTGGGGAGGAAGGAAAGGACAGCTGGGGAGGGGCTGGAGGAGAAGGAATAGAGGCCCGGAAACTCACTGATCCATCCTTTTGTGCCTTCTTTTTTGTGGATGGTGTTGTCTCTGCCCTGCCCCTCTCTCCTGTCTCTCCTCTCTGTGTCTTGGTTCTCAGGTTTTCTTCTGGAGGCAGAAAATTAAACCAACCATCTCAGAACACCCTGGCTCCAAGAAACACTCATTGAAGAAGATGGAGAAGACTCTCCAGGTGGCTGAGACTTTGAGGTTGGTCGAGTCCCCAAAAGAGGCTAAACCCAAGTTGGCTGAGTCCCCCAAGCTGGCAGATCCCTGCGTGTTGGCCAAGACTACAGAGGGGACCAAGGTGGAGCTGGGCCGACAGGGCCGATCCCTGCTGCAGCTGCCGAGGACGGCCGTCAAGTCTGTCTCTACGCTCATGGTCTCTGCCCTGCAGAGCGGCTGGCAGATGTGCAGCTGGAAGGTCAGCACCGTCCCAACGCCCCCTCCCTCTTTCCCCAGCCCCGAGTGACTCACCCTTCCCTCTGATTACTTGTTCAACCATTGTTTCCTGGCCTGGTGCAGTGACTCATGCCTGTAATCCCAGCATTTGGGGAGGCTGAGATGGGAGGATCACTTGAGCTCAGGAATTCAAGACCAGCCTGGGCAACACAGCAAGACCCTGTCTCTTAAAACATCTTTTCCTTTCTTTCTCTCTTTCTTTTTTTTTTAATCCTGAGACAGAGTCTCACTCTGTCACCCAGGCTGGAGTGCAGTGGCGCGATCTCAGCTCACTGCAACCTCCACCTCCCGGGTTGAAGTGATTCTCCTGGCTCAGCCTCCTGAGTAGCTGGGATTACAGGCATGCACTCCCACGCCCGGCTAGTTTTTGCATTTTTAGTACAGACAAGAGTTTCACCACGAGGCCAAGCTGGTCTCGAACACCTGGCCTCAAGTGAGCCATCTGCCTCAGCCTCACAAAGTGCTGGGATTACAGGCATGAGCCACCATACCCGGCAAATTTTTTCTTTATATATATATATACACACACATATATTTCCGGCTGGGCGCAGTGGCTCATGTCTGTAATCCCAGCACTTTGGGAGGCTGAGGCGGGCGGATCACGAGGTCAGGAGATCAAGACCATCCTGGCTAACATGGTGAAACATTGTCTCTACTAAAAATTAAAAAAAAAATTAGCCAGGCCGGGCGTGGGGGCTCACACCTGTAATCCCAGCACTTTGGGAGGCCTAGGCAGGCAGATCACGGGGTCAGGAGATCGAGACCATCCTGGCTAACACGGTGAAACCCTGTCTCTACTAAACATACAAAAAATTAGCCGGGCGTGGTGGCGGGCGCCTGTAGTCCCAGCTACTCAGGAGGCTGAAGCAGGAGAATGGCGTGAACCCGGGAGGCGGAGCTGACAGTGAGCAGAGATCGCGCCACTCTACTCCAGCCTGGGTGACAGAGCAAGACTCCGTCTCAAGAAAAAAAAAAAAAATTAGCCAGGCGAGGTGGCGGGCGTCTGTAGTCCCAGCTACTTGGAAGGCTGAGGCAGGAGAATGGCGTGAACCCGGGAGGTGGAGCTTGCAGTGAGCTGAGAGAGCGCCACTGCACTCCAGCCTGGGCGACAGAGCGAGACTCCGTCTCAAAAAAAATAAAAATAAAAATAAAAACTATTTCCTGTGCGTCCAGCAAATGCCTGGTACTGAAGATACAACACTGAACAAAATTTGCAGACTTGCAGGGCTACAGATGAGATCATAGGCATTGCTAGTTCAGTATCCACACATTGTTGAGTGTGACATTGTCGAGGGGGCTGTAGGATCCCAGGAGAGAGGCATGTTATCCAGACCTGGAGTCAGGCAAGGACTTTTTTTTTTTTTTTCTTTGAGACGGAGTCTGTCACCCAGGCTGGAGTGCAGGGGTGCGATCTCGGCTCACTGCAAGCTCCACCTCCCGGGTTCATGCCATTCTCCTGCCTCAGTCTCCCGAGTTGCTGGGACTACAGGTGCCCACCACCACGCCTGGCTAATTTTTTTTTTTTTTTTTTGTATTTTTAGTAGAGATGGGTTTCACCGTGTTAACCAGGATGGTCTCGATCTCCTGACCTTGTGATCTGCCCGCCTTGGCCTCCCAAAGTGCTGAGATTACAGGCGTGAGCCACTGCGCCTGGCCAGGCAAGACCTTCTTAACAGAAGTGAGGGTAAAACTGAGGCCTGAAGGTGTTAGCTTGGCTTGAAAGGGTTGTTAGGGGAAGGTGGAGGGAGTGGGAGGGGTGTCCAGGGAGTAAGAATAGCAGATGTGTGGCCAGGCACAGTGGATCATGCATGTAATCCCAACACTTTGGGAGGCCAAGGCAGGAGGATCATTTGAGCTCAGGAATTTGAGACCAGCCTGGGCAACATGGTAAAACCCTATCTCTATAAAAAATACAAAAATAAGCTAGGAATCAGTGGCTCACAGCTGTAGTCCCAGCTATTCGGGAGGCTGAAGTGGGAGGATTGCTGGAACCTGGGAAGTGGAGGTTGCAGTGAGCCGAGATCATGCCACACACTCCAACCTGGGTGACAGAGCAAGATTCTGTCTCAGAAAAAAAAAAAAAAGAGTCTGGGTGCAGTGGCTCACACCTGTAATCCCAGCACTTTGAGAGGCTGAGGCAGGTGGATCACCTGAGGTCAGGACCAGCCTGGCCAACATGGTGAAACCCTGTCTCTACTAAAAACAAAAACAAAAATCAGCGGGGTGTGGTGGTGCACCCCTATAATCCCAGATACTTGGGAGGCTGAGGCAGGAGAATTGCTTGATCCTAGGAAGCAGTGGTTGCAATGACCCAAGATTGTGCCACTGCACTCCAGCCTGGGCAATAGAGTGAGAGTCTGTCTCAAACAAACAAAAAAGAATAGCAGATGTGTCCAGAGCTGGCCCAAGGTGTGTGGGTTGGAGTGGAACGATCCTGAAGCCAAAAGTCAGCTGGTAGAAGGCAGGGTTGCCAAGTTGTGAGCTTTGGATTGGACCCTTAGAGCAATGGGAGCCCTCGAAGACACTTGAGCAGAGGAGTGACATGACCAAATGTTGATTTTGAAAGCTCACCTGCAGTCATATGTGTGAGTAGGATTGTAAGCTTGTTTAGCCCAGCCTGGGCAACATAGGGAGACCCCATCTCTACAAAAGTAAAAAAATTAGCCAGGCTTGATGCATGCCTGTAGTCCCAACTACTTGGGAGGCTAAGGTGGGAGGATCGCTGGAAGGTCAAGTCCGTGGTGAGCTATATTCATGCCACTGCACTCCAACCTTGGTGACAGACTGAGACGCTGTCTTAAAAAAAAAAGAAAAAGGAAAAAAGATAGCACAGCCACTCTGCAAAAGAGGATGGTCATTTCTAGCTCGCTCTCTTTTTTTATGTTGGAGTCTCACTCTGTCACACAGGCTAGAGTACAGTGGCATGATCTTGCTCACTGCAACCTCCACCTCCCAGGTTCAAGCAATTCTCCTGCCTCAGCCTCCCGAGTAGCTGGGATTACAGGCACCCACCACCACGTCTGACTAATTTTTGTATTTTTAGTAGAGACAGAGTTTCACCATATTGGACCAGGCTGGTCTCGAACTCTTGACTTCAGGTGATCCTCCTGCCTCGGACTCCCAAAGTACTGGGATTACAGGCGTGAGCCACAGCGGCTGGCCAAGAATGGTTATTTCTTATAAAACTAGCCATGCAGTTATCATATGACCCAACAGTTGTACTCTTGGGCATTTATCCCAGATAAATAAAATCTTATGTTCACACGAAAAATCTAAATGTGAGGCCGGGCACAGTGGTTCACACCTGTAATCCCAACACTTTGGGAGTGATCATGAGGTTAGGCAGATCATGAGGTCAGGAGATCGAGACCATCCTGGCTAACACAGTGAAACCCTGTCTCTACTAAAAATACAAAAAATTAGCAGGGCGCAGTGGCGGGCACCTGTAGTCCCAGCTACTCGGGAGGCTGAGGCAGGAGAATGGCGTGAACCCAGGAGGCGGAGCTTGCAGTGAGCCGAGATCGCGCTACTGCACTCCAGCCTGGGTGACAGAGGGAGACTCTGTCTCAAAAAAAAAAAAAAAAACAAATCTAAATGTGGACATTCATAGCAGCTTGATTTGTAGTAGCCAAAATCAACCCATGTCCTTCAGCGGGTGAATGGTTAAGCTGTGATATCTTCAAACCCCAGAATACTACTCAGCAATAAGAAGGACAAACTGGCCGGGGCAGCGACACACCTGTGATCCTAGCACTTTGAAAAACCAGGCGGAAGCATCGCTTGAGCCCAGGGGTTCGAGGCCAGGCTAGACAACATAGTAAGACCCCGTATCTGCAAACAAACAAAACAAACACACAAATAAATAAAATTCTAAAAAGATAGAAAGGACAGGGCCGGGCGTGGTGACTCATGCCTGTAATCTCAGCACTTTGGGAGGCCGAGGCAGGCATATCACCTGAGGTCAGGAGTTCAAGACCAGCCTGGCCAACATGGTGAAACCCTGTATCTACTAAAAATACAAAAAAATTAGCTAGATATGGTGGTGGGTGCCTGTAATCCCAGCTACTCGGGAGGCTGACGCAGGAAAATCGCTTGAACCTGGGAGGCGGAGGTTGCAGTGAGCTGAGATCATGCCACTGCACTCTAGCCTGGCCAACAAAAGCGAAACTCTGTCTTAAAAAAAAAAAAAAAAAGCCGGGTGCGGTGGCTCACACCTGTAATCCCAGCACTTTGGGAGGCCGAGGCGGGTGGATCACGAGGTCAGGAGCTTGAGACCATCCTGACTAACAGGGTGAAACCCTGTCTCTACTAAAAAAAATGCAAAAAAAAAAAAATTAGCCAGGCGTGGTGGCAGGTGCCTGTAGTCCCAGCTACTCGAGAGGCTGAGGCAGGAGAATGGCGTGAACCCAGGAGGTGGAGTGTGCAGTGAGCTGAGATTGTGCCACTGCACTCCAGCCTGGGCAACAGAGGGAGACTCCATCTCAAAAAAAAAAAAAAAAAAAAAGAAAAGACAAACTATTGATACATGTGGTAATGTGGGTGTGAATCTCGAGGGAAATTTTTTTGTTTGTTTTGAGACGGAGTTTCACTCTTGTAGCTCAGGCTGGAATGTAGTGGCGTGACCTCAGCTCACTGCAACCTCCGCCTCCCAGGTTCAAGCAATTCTCCTGCCTTAGCCTCCCAAGTAGATGGGACTACAAGCGCCTGGCCACCACACCCAGCTAATTTTTTGTATTTTTAGTAGAGATGGGGTTTCACCATGTTAGCCAGGCTGGTCTCGAACTCCTGACCTCAGGTGATCCACCCACCTTGGCCTCCCAAAGTGCTGGGATTACAGGCATGAGCCATCGCGCCTGGCCTCAAGGAAATTATACTGAGTGGAAATAACCAATCCTAAAAGGTTATATACTGAATGATTCCGTTTATCTTATCTACCACTCTTGAAATAACAAAAGTCTAGAAATGGCGAACATATTAGTGGCTCAGTGGTTGCCAGGGGCCGCAGAGAGAGGGGGAGAAGAGTGTAGTTATAAAAGGATAACATGAGGGACTCTTGGGATGATGCAAATGTTCTGTATCTTTTTTTGTTTTGTTTTTGTTTTTTGCTTTCTCCTGTCTGATGGAAATGTTCTGTACCTTGACTGTGGTAGTCGGATACATGAACCTGCACACTGGATAAAACTTGGTAAAATTATACACACACACAGACACACGCACCAGTGAGTACAAGTAAAACTGGGGAAATTTATGTAAGATCAGTAGATTGGATCAATGTCAATATCCTGACTGTATCATAGTATAGTTTTGCAAGATTTTTCTGTTGAGGGGAACTTGGTAAAGGGTGCATAGGATCCCTATGATTTCTTCCAATTGCATGTCAGTCAGTCTACAGTGATCTCAAAACAAAACAAAAAAAAACAGTTTAGGCCGAGCGTGGTGACTCACACCTGTAATCTCAGCATTTTGGGAGGCTGAGGCAAGTGGATCACTTGAGCTCAGGAGTTCAAGACCAGCCTGGGCAAAACCCCATCTCTACAAAAAAAAAAAAAAAAAAAAAAATATATATATATATATATATATGTATATCTCTACTATATATATATTTACAAAATATATATATGTGTATATATGTGTGTGTGTGTATGTGTGTGTATATATATATATAAAAGTTAACCGGGCGTGATGGTGCACAGCTATAGTCCCAGCTACTCAGGAGGCTGAGGTGGGAGCATCACTTGAGTTTGGGAGGTGGAGGTTGCAGTGAGCTGAGATTATGCCACTGCACTCCAGCCTGGATGACAGAGTGAGACCTTGTCTCAAAAAAAACAAAAAACAAAAACAAAAAAGACCAGGTGTGGTGGCTCACGCCTGTAATCCCAGCACTTTGGGAAGCTGAGGCGGGCTGATCACTTGAGGTCAGAAGTTCGAGACCAGCCTGGCCAACATGGTGAAACCCTGTCTCTACTAAAAATACAAAAATTAGCTGGGCGTGGTGGCGGGCACCTGCAATCCAGCTACTTGGGAGGCTGAGACAGGAGAATCGTTTAAACCCAGGAGGTGGAGGATGCAGTGAGCTGAGATCATGCCCCTGTACTCCAGCCTGGGTGATAGAGCAAGACTCCATCTCAAAAAACAAAAAGAATAGAAATGATGGGCCAGGTGTGATGGTTCATGCCTGTAATCCCAACACTTTGGAAAGCCAAGGAAGGAAGATCGCTTGAGCCCAGGAGTTCGAGACCAGCCTGGGTGACATAGCAAGACCGCATCTCATTAAAAAAAAAAAAAAACAAAAAAAAAAACCGGATAGAGATGACAAACGTCTAATGCAATCTGAGAAGGCTTCCTGGAAGAAGTAATGTCTGAGCTGGCCTGATGGGAGAGGTGGCATCAGGGAGCCCTTTGCTGTTTATCTATGAGTCGTTCTAACGGCAGTTTCTCCCTAGACCCACCTATTTACATGTGTACATCTTCTCTTTCTCTTACAGTCATCAGTGAGTTCTGCCTCAGTCAGCTCCCAAGTGAGGACTCAGTCACCTTTGAAGACGCCAGAGGCTGAGATGCTGTGGGAGGTGTACCTGGTGCTGTGGGCTGTTCGGAAACAGCTTCGCCAGCTGTCCCGCAGGCAGGAGAGGCACAGACGGCACCACGTCCGATGCCACGCTGCCCCTCGACCCAACCCGGCTCAGTCCCTGAAACTGGATGCCCAAAGTCCCCTCTAGGGGGGGATCCCCAGACCCTCAGAGAGTCCCAACCTCATTCTTACCTGGGGTCCCATATAAGCCCCTTCATTCCATGTATTCCATTTGTAAAAAAAATTATCAAAATATTGGGAAATAAATATCAGATAGTTCTGAGTCAGTGTGGAGTGTGTTTGTGGATGGCAGGAGGGGATGAGAGGAGTTTGGGTGGGTCAGGGAGAGACCCCTAAGGTGAGAGCCTAAATCCCAGTAGGGGTCACCTGTGGGTCTATTTGGGGGGAAGCACAGTGGTCAGCAGGTTTCTGCTCTGGGTCCCACCCCCTTCTAGGGGCCTAAATGCCCGTTTGTAACTCCACCTTTCCTTATAAGGACAGTAACAGCTGCCATTCACCAAGGACCCACTCCCACCAGCTGCTGTCCTTAGCAGTCCTACAAGAAAGGTATTTAGGGTGGATTACGGGGCTTGTCCAAGGCTCAGCGAAGGAGGCCTTGCTGGAAACTGCCAGCTCCCAGGGGTAGCCCACCGCCCTGCCTCTCTGGTGCTGTAAGGCTTTGCCATGGGCTTGGCTGTGGAGGGTTATGTGTCTGCAGACGCACATGCGGGCTGTGGGAGACGCATCCACCCGCTGTGAAGGTACTCCAGCCCCACCAAGAGCTCACCAAGCTCTTGGTGCCTCACCAACAGCTGAAACTACACCTCCAGGGGGCTCTACAGGGACCATGCTCATGGCAGGGCCGGGTGAAGGCCGCAGCCTAGGAGCTGGGTAAGGGGTTTGGCCTGGCACTGTGGGAATAATGACCTGGAGGGAGGCTGTGGCAATTTGGAGGGAGGTTGGAGGGTGAGGAAGACAACAAGAAAGGAGACCCAGAAGCCTCAGGTCCCCTCTCGGAGTAGCCAGGCCACATGAAGGTGCAGAGATGGCTCCCCAGGAAAAAGCAGGGTTGTTTCACAAAAGCAACAGCAAGGCCGGGCGCAGTGACTCATGCCTATAATCCCAGCACTTTGGGAGACTGAGGTGGGAGCTCGAGCTCAGGAGTTTGAGACCAGCCTGGGCAACATAGCAAGACCCTATCTCTTAAAACATCTTTTTCACATGGTGAAATCCCGTTTCTATTAAAAATACAAAAAATTTGCTGGGTGTGGTGGCATGTGCCTATAATCCCAGCTACTTGGGAGGCTAAGACAGGAGAATCACTTGAACCTGGGAGGCAGAGGTTGCAATGAGGCGAGATTGCACCACTGCACTCCAGCCTGGGCAACAGAGTGAGACTCCATCTCAGGGAAAAAAAAAAAAAAGAAGGAAAAAAGAAAGGTCATGTAGCTTTCATTCTGCACATGTTACATGGCAGGTGTTCAACACATGAGTTAAGTGACTTCACTGGGAATCAGTCCTGAGTGAAGCCTAAAGTCAAAGCCTGCTTTCAGGTTTTCAGGCGGGGCCTCAAAACAGACTAATAAAGAGCAGCTCATGTCTGGAGCTTTCAATCGCCAATTATTCATCAAGTCTCCATTATGTGCCAGGAACTCTTCTGGAGGTGAATTGTGTCGGTGCAGGATCTGAGTCCCAGGAAGCCCTGAGATTTAATGGGTCCTGAGGTTTGGAGTAGTACCTAGCTTTCTAACATCCAGGATCAGCCCCTCCGAGTCTTTAGAGATGAGCTCCTCATCGCTGGGGACCTGAGGTTTCAGTGAGAGGAGGGGAGGGGAGAGTAGGACGAAGATGGGCCTCTGAGGGTCACTGGTAAAATAGCCTTGCAAGTAGCTACAGGCCCAGGAGCTTATCCAGGCTTGACGGTGTGGGCTTGTGGAAAGGAATACTGCTCTCGTTTTTCTTTGGCTTCTTCAGCTTTTGCAAGTGGGAGGGAAATTAAAGAAGGTGGGTTCAGCCAGCAACCAAGGCACATCCCATAGCTCTCTCCTTCCCCAGATCTGGAGCCCTGTCTGGGCTTGGCTGAGCAGGGACAGGCAGACTTGTGGGAGAGGAAGAAAACGGGTGGGCAGAAGGAAGATGCCTCTTGATGACAATCTTTTTTGTGTTTTTTTGAGATGGAGTTTCACTCTGTTGCCAAGGCTGGAGTGCAGTGGTATGATCTTGGCTCATTGCAACCTCTGTCCCCGGGGTTCAAGTGATTCTTCTGCCTCAACCTCTGGAGTAGCTGGGATTATAGGTGCCTGCCATCACACCCGACTTTTTTTTGAGACAGAGTCTTGCTCTATTGCCCAGGCTGTAGTGCAGTGGCACAATCTCTGCTCACGGCAAGCTCCGCCTCCCAGGTTCATGCCATTCTCCTGCTTCAGCCTCCCAAGTAGCTGGGATTACAGGCACGTGCCACTATGCCCGGCTGATTTTTTTTTTTTTTTTTTGTATTTTTAGTAGAGAAGGGGTTTCACCATGTTAGCCAGGATGGTCTTGATCTCCTGACCTCGTGATCCGCCTGCCTCGGCCTCCCAAAGTTCTGGGATTACAGGAGTGAGCCACTGTGCCCAGCCACACCCAGCTAACTTTTGTATTTTTAGTACAGACAGGGTCTCACCGTGTTGTCCAGGCTGGTCTTGCACTCCTGACCTCAGGTGATCCACCGTCTAGGCCCCCCAAAGTGCTAGGATTATAGGCGTGAGCCACTGCACCTGGCCAATGGTTTTTGTTTTTTAGAGAAAGGGTCGGGCTCTGTTGCCCAGGCTGGAGGGCAGTGGCGCAATCATGGCTCTCTGCAGCCTCCAACTACTGGACTCAAGCGATCCTCCCACCATAGCTTCCCAAATAGCTGAAACTACAGGTGTATGCCACCAGGCCCAGCTAATTCTTTTTTAATTTTTTTTTTTTTTTTTTTTTTTTTTAGGCGGAGTCTCGCTCTGTCGCCCAGGCTGGAGTGCAGTGGCCAGATCTCAGCTCACTGCAAGCTCCACCTCCCGGGTTTATGCCATTCTCCTGCCTCAGCCTCTGGAGTAGCTGGGACTACAGGCGCCCGCCACCTCGCCCGGCTAGTTTTTTGTATTTTTTAGTAGAGATAGGGTTTCACCGTGTTAGCCAGGATGGTCTCGATCTCCTGACCTCGTGATCCGCCTGTCTCGGCCTCCCAAAGTGCTGGGATTACAGGCTTGAGCCACCGCGGCCGGCCAATTCTTTTTTTAATTTTTTTGTGGAGATGGGTTCTAGCTATGTTGCCCAGTCTGGTCTCAAACTCCTGGGCTCAAGCAATCCTCCTGCCTCCGCCTCCCAAAGTGCTGGGATTACAGGTGTGAACCACTGCACCCGGCTAGGAATGTCATTTTGGAAGTGATAAAGAATACTATGTGCGGGAAGTAGTAGGAGGAGCAGTTGACTCAGAGTCAAGAGACCTTGGTCCTAGTCTCAATATTGCTACTACTTTGCTGTGCGACTCTTATTTTTATTTTTTATTTATTTTTGAGACGGAGTATTGCTCAGTTGGCCAGACAGGAGGACAGTGGCACAATCATAGCTCACTGTAGCCTCCACCTCCTGGTCAATCCTCCCGCTTCCACATCCCAAAGGGCTGGGATTGCAGGCACTTGGTGACTTTTGAAAATCACTTTCCTTCACTGAGCCCTAAGCTTCTTAAATAAAATGATGACTTGATGACTGGGCACTGTGGCTCGCACCTGTAATCCCAGCACTTTGGGAGGCTGAGGTGGGTGGATCACCTGACGTCAGGAATTCGAGATCAGCCTGGCCAACATGACGAAACCCTCTACCAAAAAATACAAAAATTGACTGGGCGCGGTGCCTCATGCCTGTAATCCCAGCACTTTGGGAGGCCGAGGCAGGCGGACCACAAGGTCAAGAGATCAAGACCATCCTGACCAACATGGAGAAACCCCATCTCTACTAAAAACACAAAAATTAGCTGGGCGTGGTGGCACACGCCTATAGTCCCAGTTACTCGGGAGGCTGAGGCAGGATAATCGCTTGAAACCAGGAGGCAGAGGTTGCAGTAAGCCGAGACTATACCACTGCACTCCAGCCTGGGCGACAGAGTGGGACTCCGTCTCAAAAAAATAAATAAATAAGTAAAATTAGCTGTACCTGTAATCCCAGCAGCTCGGGAGGCTGAGGCAGGAGAATTGCTTGAACCCGGGAGGTGGAGGTTGCAGTGAGCTGAGATCACGCCACTGAACTCCAGCCTGGGTGATATAATCAGACTCTGTCTTCAAAAAATAAAAATAACAAACAAACCCTATCCTGTACCTCTCAGGCTTCAGAGAGTGCTGAGTTAACCTGCAGAAAGAAGGTAAGTCCCTGGGAGGTGCTAACTAGCAGTTGCCGGAGACAGAACCAGCCCAGCCTTTGGGCTCAGACAGACCTGGTTCAAATTCTGCTCTTCCTGGCTGTGTGACCTTGAACAAGTGAATTAACCTGTCTGAATCACACTTTCCTTATGTGGAAAATAGAATATTTGTTCCATAGTTTTGTAAGAATGTGAACCGCCTTGCACAGGGCCTGGCACCTAGTGAGCCAGCACACAAGTGAATAGATCTTCTCCTAAATATATTATTAAAGAAATGGTTGGTTGGGTGTGGTGGCTCATGCTGGTTGTCCCAGCACTTTGGGAGGCTGAGGTGGGTGGATTACTTGAGGTCAGGAGTTTGAGACCAGCCTGGCCAACATAGCAAAACCTTGTCTTCTCTAAGAAAATACAAAAATTGGCTGAGCGTGGTGGCTCACGCTTGTAATCCCAGCACTTTGGGAGACCGAGGCGGGTGGATCACAAGTTCAGGAGATCGAGACCATCCTGGCTAACATGGTGAAACCCCATCTCTACTAAAAATACAAGAAATTAGCTGGGCGTGGTGGCACACACCTGTAGTCCCAGCTACTCTGGAAGCTGAGGCAGGAGAATGGCGTGAACCTGGGAGGTGGAGCTTGCAGTGAGCCGAGATCGTGCCACTGCACTCCAGCCTGGGTGACAGAGTGAGACTCCATCTCAAAAAAAAAAAAAAAAAAAAAAATTAACCAGGAGTGGTGGCACACGCCTATAGTCCCAGCTACTCAGAAGGCTAAGGCAGGAGAATCGCTTGAACCCAATAGGCAGAGGTTGCAGTGAGCCAAGATCCCACCAAGACTCCAGCCAGGGCAACAGATCAAGGCTCTGTCTCAAAAAAAAAAAAAAAAAAGGAAGATAAATGAAATGGTTATTAGA